CTGGCTGGAGAATTCTGGGAGTTGAAGTCCACAAGTCTTAAAGTTGCCAAGTTTGGGGACCCCTGTTCTAGTCCAACCTTCTGCTCAAGCGGGAAACCCTACACCATTTCACGCAAATGGTTGTCCAATCTCTTCTTAAAAACCTGCAGTATTGGAACAACCACAACTTATGGAGGCAGATCATTCCACTGATTAATTTTTCTCTCTTCAGGAAATTTCTCCTTCGTTCCAGGTTGCTTCCCTCCTTGATTAATTTCCATCCATTGCTCCTCATCCCTAGCCTTCGGGGGATGGAGCATTTGACTTCTTTTGTTTTTTCTTTTTTAAAAAAAAGGGAATTGCGGGATACCTATTTTGCCTTTCTTGGTTTTAGAAAATGTTACCACTGCATAAAGCTACAGTTTTTGTGTGTTTCCTGCCACAAAACAGTAGGGAACGCTATCATCACCTCCGAGCCATTTTGATGGAAAGGCCTTTAAGGCCATTATACGAGGACTCAGACTTCATAACATACAATTAGCTGTGCCCCTGAAGCAATCAGCTGGCACCCTCAGTAGCAACCGTGTGCATTTCAACCAGAGGCTGGGTTTGGCATTTGTATTTTGCAGTAACAAAAATCAGCAAGGAACAGAACATACTTACTTCTGACATTCTGCTGAAATTTTTAATTCTTTGGTTCTGGAAAGGAAGACTTTAATCAGTGAGGCAAGGTTTCCTGTCCGAGGATTATTCTCCACTAGGAAGAAGAGCAGGAAGAGTTAGGTAATGTTTCAGAATGTACAATGATTATATCTAGTTCAAACATGAGGTTTGCGAGCCTATGTCCTCTTACAAGGGTGTTACATTCAGACTTAACGAAGGATGTACCTCTTTCTTTGTAAATTTGTTCAGCATATTTACTGAGCAGGTAATCTCAGCCAGGTACACCAGGATGTTTAGCCATCAGAGAAGCCTCAAGGTGCCACGTCTCAAACAGATGAGACAACATACTTTAAATGGGAAAAAAAGGGAAATTCAAGATGTCCCCAAGGTGCTTTTTCTAAAAGGCCACTGGACTTCCTTTCTTTTTCCTTGAAGACATTTCGCTTCTCATCCAAGAAACTTCCTCAATTCTGAACTGAGCTGAACCGTTCTGAACTGAAGAAGGTTCTCGGAGGAGAAGTGAAACATCCTCGAGGAAAAAGAAAGGAAGTCCAGTTGCCTTTGGAAAAAGCATCCTTGGGACCACCATGACCTGAGTGACTGAGAATCTCCATGGAAAATTAAAGATGGGGCTCTTGATAGTAACCCTCTCATTTTAACAGTTCAAACAGTTTCATAAAGTTCAGATAAAGCCGCAGGTGGCAATTTAGTAAAGTTCTGACCAAGTCACAGATCTCAAAAACTACTGATCTGAATCAATATACTGTGGCAGAGTTTGGAAAGCCAATTGTTTTGTTCATGTTTAACTTTCAGAGGGGTTTCAGACAGGGTCAAAATGCAGCATTTTGAAGAAGCATTCGGCATCCATTACCAAGCAATTATCATATTCCATTTCTGCTTTCACCTCCTACACATATTATCTTCTGAATAAATGCATTAAAATCCCTTTTTTAAAAGAGAGAAAAAAACAACCTGTTCCACTAGAACTTAATATAACTGTACCCAAGCCACTTCCTGTGACAGCATGCGATATGAAGCAAAAACTTGTGAAAACGTTTGGCTCAAATAGCACATGCGGGTACAATATGACGACTTCAAGCCCTTAAAAACAAGTGTTGTGTTTAAAAAAAAAAAAATCTCGTGCGCAGGCCACAGATGGGAGATATTAAATGCATCACAAATACAAAGGGATGTATAGAGAAGAGTGCTTGATTAGGAAAACTAAGAGCATGCACAGCAGGGCAAGAAAAACTGAGCATGAAAAGAAAGGCTCGGCTGAATGCAGCATCATACCTAAAGACTTGCAGATGGACACAGAAGCTTCATCCAAAAGTTTTAACTCAGCACTGAAAACAAAAGAAAAATGTTTTATTAGAGCTGATGCTACTGAGTTTGGGCAAATCCATCATCCATCAGACACAGTGAGTTTTCGATAGGAGTTTTCGAAGGAGAAAGGTTGTAGCTCAAGGTTGAAAGGAAGAACCAAACAACAAGAGTTGGGACTTTGGAGGATTTCTAATAGAATCCTTTATTGGCCAAGTGTGATTAGACACACAAGCAATTTGTTTTCCGGTGCATAAACTCTCTAATCCAATACAGGTCGTCCTCAACTTACAACCACAATTGAGCCCAACATTTCTGTTGTTAAGCGAGATGTGAGTTAAGTGAGTTTTGCCCCATTCTGCAACCTTTCTTGCCACCGTTGCTAAGTGAATCACAGCACTTGCGAAGTCAGGAACCCGGTTGTTCAGCGAATCTGGCTTTCCCATTGATTTTTGCTTGTCAGAAGGCTGCAAAAGGGGATCACGTGACCTTGGGACACGGCAACGGTCATAAGTATGAGCCAGTTGCCCAGCATCTGAATTTTGATCACATGATCATGGGACTGGTACAAAAGTGTGAAAAATGGTCAAAAGTCACTTTTTTCAGTGCCGCTGCCAAGCGAGACAGTTGGATCAATTGCCAAGCAGCTGAATTTTGATCATGAGGATGCAGCAAAGCCAGATTCATTTAACTTAAACAACTGCACTGATTCACTTAATAATGGTGGCAAGAAAGGGCATGAAATGGGGCTACACTCGCTTAACAAACATCTCATTTGGCAACCCTAAACTTTGGCCTCCATTGTGTTCGTAAGTTGAAGACTACTTGAATTAGGGCATATTTTAGATACGAGGAATAACAACTTACTCAACATCATTCTGACTATGTTTAAAGTGAATATAAACTCAAATTGCCCTGCAAAATAGGCAGAAGACCAATAGGAGAGGGTACTCGTAGCTCAGGGCTGAACTGTGTGCTCTTTCTTATATACATATCATTACCCAACTAGGTAAGTTAGCTAGCACTAATGATATTATCAAGTTGGGTAAGGAAACATCTACAAGAAAAAAGCCAAGCTCACAGAGCCCCCCCAAAGGAAGAAGAATGAGCGATATTAACCGAACTTAATCATCATCACCATTATTGTTTGAGTGCTTTCCCGGTTTTGCCCATTTTAACCCAGTTCAAAAGATTAACTGATTTGAGTTGACTCATCCCACATCTATAGAATAGAATTCTTTTTTATTAGCCAAGTGTGACTGGACATACAAGGAATTTGTCTTGGTGCAAATGCTCTCAGTGTACATAGAAGATACATTCATCGAGAGTCAAGAATCATAAGATACAACACTTAATAGTTATAGAGTACAATAAGCAATCAAAACATACTAGGAAACAGTCAATATAAATCGTAAGGATACAAGCGACAGTCATACAGTCACAAGTGGGAGGGGATGGGTGAAAGGACTGCTGAGAAGATTAACAGTAATAGTAGTGCAGACTTTGTAAATAGTTGAACAGTGTTGAGGGAATTATTTGTTTAGTAGAGTGACAGCGTTTGGGGAAAAACTGTCCTTGTGTCTAGTTGTTCAGATGTGCAGTGCTCTAGTCTATAGTGTCGTTTTGAGGGTAGGAGTTGAAACAGTTTATGTCCAGGATGTGAGGGGTCTGTAAATATTTTCACAGCCCTCTTTTTGACTTGTGCAGTATACAGGTCCTCAATGGAAGGCAGGTTGGTAGTAATTGTTTTTTCTGCAGTCCTAATTACTCTCTGAAGTCTGTGTCTGTCCTGTTGGGTTGCAGAACCAAACCAGACACTTATAGAGGTGCATATGACAGACTCAATCATTCCTCTACAGCAACGTTCTATTCTGAAGGGTTGGCTTTAAGGCTGTCATCGTTTTTGCTCCATAAAGCAAAAACTCTTTAATACAGAAATACCAGTATGGCTAAAAGCATTGCTCATTTGACCATAAATCACTGCTTCGGTGCTGCTTGTTGTTTTCGGGGATTGTTCAAGTTTGCAATAAATTACTCCATCTGCAAAAAACATACCTCCCCCAGGCCTAGGCCCCTGCACCAAGGTTTACATGAGAGCAATGGGCTAACAGATAGCGGTTGCTTTAGATTCTATCTTGAAAGCAATGAGAACGCTTTCCCACAAACAAACAAAGGATCTAGAACACAGTATGAAATAACAGCAAGGTGCTTTGCTAACGTGTAAACACATGTTAAACTTCTGCAAACAATTGTATCTCTTTTTTTAACAGATTAAGAGAGTGGGATGGGACCTTGTAGGTCATCTAGTCCAACCCCCCACCCAAGCAGGAGGCCCTACACCATTTCCAGCAGAGTGCTGTCCAGTCTCTTCTTGAAAGCTTCCAATGATGAAGCTCCCAAAACTTCTGAAGGCAAGCTGTTCCACTGATCTATTTGTTCTCACTGTCAGAAAATTTCTCCTTATTTCCAGGTTGAATCTCTCTTTGTTCAGTTTCCATCCATTATTACTTGTCTGGCCTTCGGGTGCTTTGAAAAATAGCTTGACCCCCCTCCTCCCTGTGGCAGCCCCTCAAATATTGCAACATTCCTATCCTGTCTCCCCTGGTCTTTCTCTTCACTAGACTAGCCATGCTCAGCTCCTGCAATCGTTCATCGTTTGTTTTAGCCTCCAGTTCCCTAATCATCTTGGTTGCTTTTCTATGCACTCTTTCTAGAGTCTCAACATCTTTTTTTATAGTGTGGTGACCAAAACTGGATGTAGTATTCTAGGTGTGGCCTTACTAAGGCTTTATAGAGTGGTATTAGTACCTCCCTTGATCTTGATTGTATCCCTCTGTTAATGCAGCCTAGGTTTGCATTGGCTCCAAGATCCCTCTCACAGTTACTGCTATTAAGCCTGGTTTCACCCAATCTATATGTGTACTTTTGATTTTTCTTACCTAAGTGTAACACTTTACTTTTCTCTACATTAAATTTCATTTTTTTTCAGATAGGGCCCAGGGTTCAAATCTGTCCATTTGGATCTTGAACCTATCTTCTGGGGTGTTGGCTATTCCTGCCAGCTTAGTTTCATCAAATGCTAAAAAAAAAATCATGCATTTATAAAACAACTGTGCAATCAGCAACGATATTATCATTAACTCCAAATTTTAATCAATTGTGGTAACCACCCATTATTTGCTGATGGCATGCTTAGTTTCCTAACAACAGAACTCAAACCTCTGAGGAAAGACCACTTATTTGTTTGTATGGGAGAACATTCTCTTAAAAAAAAAACCAATAACAGTTTTATTAAACTTTATTGCAAGATAAAATATACAAACAAAAATTAGTACAATTAAAAAGAGAAAGGTGCAAAGAGACAGAAAAGAACAAAAAAAGTGATTTCTGACTTTTTTCACTGCAGTAGAATACAAAAAGAATTCCAGCTTCAATCATTTACTTTACCTTTCTCGATATTTCAAACTATTTCTATAACAACAAAATCATTCTAATCATCAAAATTGAAAATTAGAGTTTCCTTTTTTTCCAGTTTTGAGTACAAAACTCAGAAGTGATTTCCAAATGGAAACAAAACTAGGTAAGTTCTCTTTAATTAAAACAGTCGATCTTGTCATCTCTGTCCACTCCATCGCCTTAACCATCCATTCCTCTGTGGTGGGTATAAATGTACTCTCCCATCTTTGTGCATACAAGTAAGCCTTGACTTACAACCATTCGTTTAGTGACCGTTTATGAAGTTGCAACAGCACTGAAAAAAGTTGACCTGTGACTATTTTCCACATTTATGACTGTTGTAGCATTCCCCCGTGGCCACATCTTCAAAATTCAGACACTTCAGATAACAGATAATCAGAGTTGGAAGGGACCCTGTAGATCATCTAGTCTAACCCCCCGCCCAAGCGGGAGACCCTACACCATTTCTGACAAATGGCAATCCAATCTCTTTTTGAAAGTCTCAAGCGATGACGCTCCCACAACTTCCGAGGGCAACTTCTGTTCCATGGGTTGATTGTTCTCACTGTCAGAAAGTTTCTCCTTATTTCCAGGTTAAATCTCTCCTTGTTCAACTGACTCATTGCAATGACCCGCGAAATCAAGGGGAAACCAGATTCACTTAACAACCGCGTTACTAATTGAAACTGCAGTGATTCACTTTGCCAACTGTGGCAAGAAAAGTTATAAAATGGAGGCAAAGCTCACCTAATTGTCTCACTTAGCAACAGAAATGTTGAGCTCAATTGTGGCCTTATGTCGAGGACTACCTGTATACGATGCTCGCCGCTGTTAACACATATGGTAATAAAGTTGGAAGGGTCCGTCAAACCTAAGAGGAAATCATCTGGTTTATATTTCTTTTGAAGATCTTCTGAATCAGGATAAAAATCTGATTTCCTGTATTTCTATGCTTCATCGCAAGTCCACCAGAGATGGTAAAACAACCCAACAACCCTCTTTACAATTCTCAAGCAACCTCCAAGTACTTCGAAACACCAGACAATGCTGTCTGCCCAAATTCTCAAACATGTGCCAGAAGTTTGCTTATCAATGGAGACCGTGTGGAGCAAGTGGCCAGTTTTAAGTTTCTGGGTGTTACCATAAAAGAGGACCTGACCTGGGGTGTTCACATTGCAGCCCTGGTCAAAAGGGCCCGGCAGAGATTATACTACCTGAGACTTCTCAGGAAACAACAAGTGAATGAAAAACTGCTGGTGACCTTCTACCGCTGTACCATAGAGAGTATCTTAACACACTGCACCTCTGTATGGTTTGCCAATTGCACAGGGGCAGATAGGAAAGCACTCCAGAGGGTTAATGTCATTGCCCAGAAGATCATTGGTTGCCCTCTCCCCTCTTTGGAAGAGCTTTATAGCTCCCGCTGCCTTAAGAAAGTTCAAAACATCCTTAAAGATCCATCTCATCCTGGGCACCTTTTTTTTTGAACTATTACCATCTGGCAGACGGTACAGAATAATAAAAACAAGGACAAATAGGCTGAAAGACAGCTTCTATCCCAGGGCAG